CTGAACCCGACTTGAACCCGAGAATAACCCGACTTGATTATAACCCGCAAATTATTTACTTGAACCGAACCCGACTTAAACCCAAGAATGACCCGACCTGATTCTAACCCGCAAATTATTGACTAAAACCGAAACCGACTCGAACCCGAGAATTACCTTAACCCGTTTTAACCCGAATTAAACCCGACCTATTGTTCACCCGACCCGAATGTAACCCGACTTGTTATTAACCCGACCTAAACCCGACCCAAACCCGATAAGATGTATGACCCGACGTTACCCGACTCAACCAGAATCTAACACGCATAGGTTACGACATTAACCCGAATTGACCCGACCCAACCCGAGTTGACCCGACCCAAACCCAACTCGTTTACCCTAATTGACAGCTTTATACACAATCCAACATAATTAACATACTTCCTCCGTTAACCACTATCTGCAACTTTTACTATTTTTAGACGCTTAACATTATGTGCAACAATTTTTTTTCCCTTTTTTAATAAAAAAACATAAAGAAATGACCATTATACCCTTACTTAAAAATCTAAATCTGCCTATTAATTTTACTAATCTTATTTGATGCATTAATCAGTTTTTTAGATTACCGTAACCATTCCCACCAATTCTCCCATATAATCCCACCTACTCAACTACCAACATTAAATCAGATTTCCCCAACTACTCACATTAATTGGAAGAACAATCTAGGGTTCTTCAGATTCCTTTAAACATGTTCATCTTCTTCGTCATTCTCTCTCCTCTTCTAGTTTCTGGGTTCATCTCTCTCTCTTCTTTTCTGGGTTTCGACACTCTCTCTCCTCTTTTCTGGGTTCATCTCCCAAATCTATTACTTGTGGTCTCTCTCTTTGATTCTGTCAAATTGAGGGTTGATTCCTCTTTAAAATTGAGTCCCTTTAACAATGATTAACCTAGATCCACTTCACGATGTCTTCTTTGCGACTAATGTTGAAGAGGAAGGTGATATTATTCAGATGCTGATTCACTCCTTCAACACTGACTCTCCTTGGCCTCGAAGGATGTACGATGCTGGGAATAGGGGTCTATACATAAGAGATTACACCTTGAAAGCCCTTGGGGGAGTTCTCCAGTCCACTGATGACATTGAGGAAGGTAGGAGAGAGGAAATCAGGCGTCGAGGCAAGAGGGCGCCTGATTTCAGCAAGGAAGGAGTTTCTAGTAAGGGTGAGGGTTCTTCTGCTCCTAAGAAGCCCAGATCTGAGAGTGCTAAGGCACCTCTAACCAAAATAAGATCTAGGCGTCGCGCTGCGTTGGTTGCTCGAAGCAGAATTCGTGGGGCTAAGCTAACTGGGGTGATTGACATTTCTGATGATGAAGACCCTAATGAAGGTGGTGTTGGGGTTGCTGCTCCTCCTGGTGTGGTGGCCCAGGATGTCGGTGGTGTTGCTGCTGCTCCTCCTGCAGATCCAAATGATGGAGTCCCTAAAGCCCAGGATATTTAGGATGAGTTGGGAGTTGTGCTTTCCCCAACTGAATGGCGCATTTAATAACGATTTCTAACCCTAAATTTGTTATTCTTTCATTTTGTTTATGAGTCCCTAATAATTTATTCATTGATGTTGGCTGTTGATGTGTATTTTGTGTTTATTGGCGATGAATTGTGTTGTAGTCCTGCTTGATGAGTCCCTGATGTTTGCTTATGATGGTTTGCTGTTTTGCTTTATTGATATTGTTGTTCTAGATTAAGGGGAAATGTGATTGATGAATGATGATACATGTATGATGTGCACTGATCTATGATCTATGGTTGTCATTTTGAGTCCTTCTTTTTATGTGATGGGTTGTTGTTATGTGGAGCTTCCTGTTTGGAACACTTTGTTGTTGTTGTTGTTTTAGAATGAGGGGAAATGTGATTGATGAATGATGATACATGTATGATGTGTATTGATATATGATCTATGGTTGTCTTTTTTAGTCCCCCATTTGATGTTATGGGTTGTTGTTTTGTGGAGATACCTGTCTGGAGCACTATGTTGTTGTTTTTGTTTTGGAATGAATAGAAATGTGAATGATGAATGAGGATGTTGGTTGAGCCATTGATATCACTCTGTTTCTCAATGACCATTATGTGAGATCACACATGAGTCCCAAATTTGAACCTTAAGGTTGTTGGTTGCTGCTCTTTTTTCTGTTACATTTTGAGATTGATAATGGATGCCCTACAATGTTATTGGTGTGTTTATGTCATTTCCAAATGATGAAGGGACTCATTTGATCCACCTTTGTTGAGTGTCATTAGCTCCAACTTTTGTGATTAAAGTTGTTGAGGAAATCACTTCCACATAAGGTGTTGATAAAAAATAAACATTAAACCCTCTAATGGAAATAGTGCTGCCTTTCTTGAACATTGAGTAGTGGAACACTTGAATGAAACTGAAAAATGAGTCCCAATTTTATAAGTAAAAGTTTGATTTTCATTCATTTAGTTCCATTACAAAAGCTGACTCCTACATACAACCACTGTTCTTACATGACTGCCCTGGACATTCCTCTCTTCCTAATAACCAAAATACACCTAACCACCCAAAATATAAGCTTAAACTTACAAATAACCTAGTACTACTTGTTCTTGCTTAAACAAAATAATGTGGTTAGGTGTGGCAGTCTATGTCCCAAAAGGTTGCTACTCATTGCTTTTTCTTCTAATCTGCATCTACCTGCATTTGTGTGTCTTCATCATCTGCTTGGTTCACTTGCCTGAACAAACTGTTGAGATGTTCCACTGCTTGTTGAATGATGTCCCTGCTGACCTCTAACTGTTCTGGCAGAATCCCTTGGTTTTATAACCTGTTTTTGCCCATATGTGGTAGTGGGTAGTTATTTCCTCCATTCTTAATCATTATCTCAGTCATACATTTTTGCAATGTGATCCATGTATTCCTATTGAGTTTAGGATCTGTAGGGAATATTTCAAGCGTTATCCCTAGCTTGAACCCCACTGTGATCATACACTAAAGTACGGTGGCGTCCAAAGGGAAAGAAGATAGAGCAAAAGAGTCGCCAACAAATTTTTTAAGGAACTTGTAAACCGTTCACGAGGTGAAGGTTACACCCCTTAACGATCCAAGAGATCGTCAACTCCATAAGGTCTTGAACCAAATAGGGTTCGGGGATGAAGGTACAAATCCAACCTAAAAGAGATTGAACCTGCCCTAATAATAGGCCTCTACTTTATTCTGATCGTATTCATGTGCGCTTTCTGACTAACATGCAATCAATAGGATTAACCCTAAACCTGTTTATCTATGTTGGTTGAATATAATGCACAAATAAATCTATTATTGGCGATCACTTGAATTATAATCATATTAACCCTAAACAAGATTAATAATTATCTTATTAAGCGTGATTACAAGTACAAATTCCCTTTAAACATGCATAAAAGGTGTGATCAAGAAATAAAAATAAATATCATCAAGCAACATAATAATAATCACAATAATTATAATAAAAATCATAATAATAATTATAACAATTATTAAAATAATCATGAATCATGTTAAAGCATAATAATAATAGCAAGATCCTAGGCATGATACTAACAAGATTAATAACAAACCCTAGCATGTCACTAAACAACAAAAATCAAAGCTTTAACCCTAACATGATACTAACATGATATTAGGAAGAACATAGGAAGCATCATACTTTTAATCATACTTAGTATTAAAATTACCCTAGACATGCTACTAGGAATATCATAATAACAACCTAAGCATGAACTCTATATCATAACATCAATAAAAACCATTAAAGTACTTACTTTGATGCCTCGTACCTCGTTTTAATAACAAAATACACATGTTAGTAACTTCAAGGAAAATAATAAAAAACAATTAAATTAAATAATGGAAAGAGAGATTTGAGACCACCCTCAGAAATTAAACCTTTCACGTCTAGGGCGAAGGCAACTTCGAATATGGCTAGGTATTTCTAAATCTAATGAGTGCGGAATTTTTATATTTGAGAGAAGGATAGTTTAGAAAAGAGAGAGAGAGAGTAATCAAGAAAAATCTTGATCAGAGTTGGTGAGTCAAAACGGAGTTTTTAAGACGTTATTTATAGAGAAAATCAGCCAAAAAGATAAAGCATCAAAAACAGAGTTCTGACGCAAAAGGCCAAGTTAGCGCCAAACGCTGACCTTAGCGCCAAACGCTAAGGCTAGCGCCAGGCGCCAAGCGTAGCGTCAGGCGCTACAACTGGCGTTTGGCGCTGACTCAGAAATTCACGCGTTTTCTTAAAATCAGATAGAAATTGCCGTACAGGAGGATAAAATCGTATTTTCCTCAAAAAACGTTCTTTGATTTTGATTAAAACTCTAAAAAGTCAACAAAAAGTCAATTTATCAATGCTAATTGAATTAGGAATGAAAAGAACCTTCTAGAAGAATCTAGAAGACTAAAACCATTCCTAATTGCATTAGGAATGATAAATCTATATTAGGCCCTCCCCTAGATCATTGGGTCGCATATAAGGCTCAAACCGGGCCCAGTTTGGTAAATTGGTCATGACTTCCTCAATATTCATCGGAATTGGGCTTATAATATATCGTTGGAAAACCCTTTTCAAGCCCCATCCAACTAGACTAATATTGGACCCATATCATGGACCAACCAAACTGGATTGACTGTTTTCTTAAAATAGATTTTTAAAAACAGAGAGAAGAGAAAAGAAATTAAAACTATCCGCAACACTAAACTTTCCATACTTTCACTTCATTCGATTATGATTCAACGTGAAAGGTACTCATCACTGGGTTTGGTTTTGGGGAGACACAAATAGGTGTCTACAGGATCAAAAACAGCATAAGCCTCATTTACCTTCTCAACCAATTCATCCAAATTTTCAGGAAAAAATTGATATTGGATGGATTGGATTGAGGTAAACAACCCTAAATCAAGCACATTGAGATCAGGGGACTGGGCTGGCTGGAAAACCATCTGTATGTTGAAACCATCTTATGTGCATGCTTCTTGAAACTCTGCATCTGTTGGGATTTGGTGTGGTCTTGCATTATCCCATTGTATGAACACATTTTTAGGCAGGCTTGGATGCCACTTGCTTTTGATTGCTGGTATAACTTGTTCAACCAACATTTTCCTTGTCACTTTCTTTGTGACACTCTCTATTGCCTTAGTCTCTAATATCCCTGCCACTCTATTCTTACTTGACTTTAATGCTCTCTTTTTTAATACAAAAGGGAACATACCATATTTGCCATCATGTAGCAAGTTTTTGTTAGCATCATATAGAGGTTTACCAAACACTGCCATAAACATGGCTTTGATTTTGAACCTTCTGGACTGTTGGCACCTGTATGGATTTTCCTCTTTTGGCAGCACGTAAAACCTCCTTGTTTCTAGGTTCAACCAGAACCACTTTTCATCAATATGAATTGACTGTTGCATGTTCAGAAATGTTGGGTCCCCAACTGCAGGAATAGGGTTAACATGAGCTAAAGCCCACTTTAACCTTGCAACCTTATGATTAGAAGTAAGTGCTGGTCTGTTTGTGCTTGTGTGAGTTCTAAGTCTGCCTCTTTTCTTCAAATTGTGAATGGCGACATGTGATATCTTTAGAGCTGCTGCATAGCTTCTCTCTGTTGTTCTCTTGTACAGAGGCACTGATTGGAGAAATTCATCTGAATATTCCACTGGTTTGCATCCGCATGACCCCGACTTCTTGTTTCTGACATCAATCACATTTCCCTCTGACATCTACTTTTTTAGATCATCAAATACTCTTATAATTGTTGACTTATGGACTTAAAATCTTAATGCCAGTTGAGTCTTGAGTCCCCTTATTAACTGACCATCTTGCATTATTTCCAGTAACATTGCATCAATGATTTCTCTTTTTTTTTTCCAAATTAAGTTGTTTTCTAGATGTTGGTTCTACCTGTTGAAATGCATCTGCTTCCTGATTGTTCAGTGAGTGCTATTGCTGGTTGTTATCTTCATCATTTTCAGATTCAAGGTCTGAAAACTCATAAGCATCTTCTGTATCTTCTTCATCCATCAACATTTGATCAATTCCATAGAATTGATCATCATATCCATAATGATCATCCATTGTATTCTGTTTTTTTTAGGAACACTGACTGTTTTTTTTTCAGAGTGGATGAAAGGAGAAAAGGTGGTAGCTGAAGTCGTTTTTTGGTGCTGGTGAAGCTGCCACGATTTGGAGAGCAGAATGAAGATGAAGATGATTAAATTAGTGCACTAATTTAGATTAGGGGTAGTTTTTTGGGTAAATATGGGCTGATGATGTGTAATTAGTGCTAACCTAATTTTTTGGGAAACTTGTTTACAATATGGTCTGTATTAATGGTGAAGTATGAATATGGTGATGAACGTTAAATGTGATGGCTGGTATTTATAAGCCACTTGAATGTGAATTGAAAAGGTCAAGTTTCTGTTGGAGGGAAAAAAAATTGGCTCTAATTTAAAATTTTGGCCAAAAAGTAAGGAGGAAAAAACATTCCCCTCCAAAAACAGATTTCCACCCAAAAGAAACATGTGGGCAGGTCCCACTTTCTCTTTCTTCTTAGTTTTAATTAGTTTCCCTAACATTTCTTAAACAATATTAGCAACTTTTGCCTAGGAGTTTGTGAAGGCCTCCAAAGTTGCAGATAATGGTTAACGGAGGAAGTAGATTACAAGAAAAAAAATTGTTGTTAATATTACACACTCTTTTAGTTATAAAATTAGTGTATTACAATATTATATCTACTATTTTATTTTACATAATTTTTTATATAAAATAGTATAAAAATATATAATTTTGTTTTAAAAAATATATAGATGTGGGTGTAAGGTGGGGATGAGGCGGGTATATATGAAGTGGGCGGGTTGGGCGGGGCGGGGATGGGGCGGGTACAATGTAAAATCCACCCCCATGGCGGGTATGATTTTTATCCCCATCCCCGCTCCACCACCCGCCAAACCAAGACCCATCCCCACCCAACTGGGGCAAGGATGGGGCGGATCTCCTACTTGACCCGCCTCACTGACATCCCTAGAATCAATATAGCATATATAACTCATACAATTAAACCAAGCCTAATCTAATTGCATAGTATTAAATCAATCAATAAGAAATTAATCAATCATTGACAATCAACAATAATAAATTGCCCCTTCATACTATTTATGGATCCCACAACCCTAGAAATAAAACTACTCACACATATTAAAATCTAAACTAAGCAAAGCAAATAAACAAGGCATAATTAATCAAAGAAATCAAATTACTGAAAATAAAAGGGGAAGAAATCGTTACCGAAATAAACGGAATTAATGAATTGCATAAAACCAAAAGCGTTGAGAGAACAAGAGTATTAACCAAAAGCTTAAAACTAAAATATAAGAATTTTAACTAAATGAAAGACGTAATTGTATCATGCTTCGAAAAGCCTATTTATACTTAAGCTAGAAAATCCTGAGTTAGAACAAATTAAACGACACTAATCAGACTTCCAAAAACACGCGCCAGTCGGGCAGACTCTCGCCCGACTGGGCCCTCCTTTTTGTTGGGATAATCTTCGCTCGCGCTTGGTCGGGCGCGCCTTCGGGCGGAGAGCCTTTTCTTATTCCTTCCTCACTTGGGCGCGCCTCAGGGCGAGGGCACTCCCCGGTCGAGCGAGCTCTCGGGCATTCATGGATCTTCGATTGAGCCACTTTCTTGGCCCAATCCGGATTTCTCCATGCGCGGAGTTTTAGGAGAAATTGGAGAAAGTAATAAAATATAGAGATAGTGGGGTAGGTAGAAGAATAAAAAATTGTAACAAGCAAAAGTAGTGGAGAGAATTGGAGGAGATAGAATATGAAATTAATTAAATATGTTTCATGGTGGGTCCACTAAGTGAGAGTAATTAATTAAATACTAGGTTAGATCTCGTGCCATGCACGGTGATCTATAGTTATAAACTAAATTAGCCCCGTGCGATGCACGACATAATAAATTTCTTTAAAATAAATATATTTTATATATGCACCTCATATGAGAAAAGAATATAGAAACATAACCATTAATTGCAATGGTATTTAGATCTAATAATTTTAAAGATAGTAAAAAATTAACCAAAATATACAATACAGAGTACTCTTAAACCGAGAGTAGTTATATTTGGAATCCAAATAGTTTTTTATAAATCCATAATAATATAAAAATATATAAATAGAAATAACATATTATAATAATTGTCTTCAAAAAGAAAATATACTTCGTACATATAATTTAATAATTTAAGTAAAAAAATAAGAAGGTTTCAAAAAATAAGTAAAAATAAAAATAAGAATATGATGTCAACAATTGATTTAGGCGGGAATTTTTTTTACCACAACTTAACATCTGTACAATTTAAATAGGGGATGATGTCAGCGGTTTTTACTTTAGTTATATTTATAGATTGTATAAGTTTTCCAAATAAGAAAATGGAGCAAGTATTTAAAAACGGCCGAAAAAAGGAAAGTGGAACAAGTATTTAATGGAGGGAGTAATTATTTTATACAAAATATATTATTTACACAATATTTTTATTCCTTAAAAACCAGCAAAATGTTTGCCTAAATATTTAAAGGGAGGTCTGAAAATATGAGCTAAGGAAAGCTCAAATTCATATTGTATTTTAAGCAAAATTATTTTGGTAATTTTTGTATTTTAATTATCTTCCTCGGTTCCATGATTTTCCTTAATTCTTATTTTCTATCTCCTAAATATTTGATCATCTTATTTCCCTACCTTAAATCATTCTTGATTATTCCCGAAGTAAAGCCATTTTCCATATTATTTTTCATGACAACACAATTTTCATAATTAATTATTTCTTAGTCACCATAATATTAAACCTTCCTTAATTTTTAAACTCTCTTCTCCAAGTAATTTCCTTAAACCAATACCATAATTCTTCCAACATTCTCCTACCATAATTTTTGCATGAACAAGCCTATAAATACCCTCTCATAACTCTCATATAATTCACACCAAAACTCAATTCTCTTCTTCTCTCTTATTCTTATTTTTCCTAAACCTTTTTATACTTTTCTTTCTACTACTCTTTTCATACATAACTAGCTCGTATATCTTTGAATCCTATTTTTGGGCACTTTTGTTTAGCTTTGGGGGTTTTGATGTTTCACATAAGATTGTTCCTCTCAAAAAATCCTTGAGGTAAGGCTTAAGAATTACCCAATTTGGAGTTATATTGAAGGAGTTATAGCCTCTACAATTTCTACCTATTCTTTTCAACACAAATTCAATTCTCTTTAATCCTATTCTTTTATTTTCTTCATGGTTAGTTTTCTAAAATATAAAATCTATTTCAAAGTTATAATTTTATATTAAAGTATTATTTTTAAAAGATTTTTATAGTCCATGCAAATCAGATTTGATTTTATGTCTAAAGATGTTATAATAACCTTATGGTTATGTTAATTACAAGGTGTATTCGTGATAGAACTTTGAAATTGCGAAGTATTGATTGATATTAGGAATCAAGATATATTTAGGTGGCTACATACCTTCAAAAGTGATTAGTTTGAATAACATGTTTTATATGACTAGTTCAAGTGCGCCGCGCGCATCGCGCGCGCACCGGTTTGTAAACCTTATTAAGAAAATTATTAACAAGACATATAAGTAAGTTAATTAGCTTAGTTTTTGTAAATTTGTACATGATATATACATGTATACGTTATAAATTATTGCATTATTGTGTAAAGTATAATTAAGTTGTATTGAAATATATTAGTGTTATTACTTATTGATATCATATATAAATGATAGGTCTCTAAGAAAAAGATTTTATCATATTTAATGTAGAACATTTGTGATGAAAGGGGTATCATCAATTTACTGCATAACGTCTTTTCCCAACCTCTCAAGTAATCCCTGACCTAGTAACTCGAGTAACACCTGACTAAAGAATTCAAATAACCTCACAAAATAACTCAGGTAACCCTGCCACAATCCGTTTCATAATAATTGCAACACTACTTTCTTTAGTAAGAGTCCACGACTATTTTATTATTTCTCTCTGACCAACCTAATTCACACTTTTTTATTACTATATTTCTCTCCTACGAACAAATAAATATATCCAACTACCTATAATTTACATTATATAAAATCACAAATTTTTGTATGCAGCTTGTTGTATCGTGCAACAAGGTTTACTTGAGTTTCTCGGTATAGTATTACTCGAGTTGTCGGGGTTACTTGAGTTTCTCGGTTAGGGGTTACTCGAGTTGTTTGGGTTACTCAAGTAACCCCTCACCGAGTAACCCTTGAGAAATTCATGATTGAACCCCTCGAGTAACCCTACCTCAGTAGCCCCTCCCCCTCAAGTAACCCCCCCCCCCTCAAGTAACCCCCCCTCAAGTAACCCTTGGTTGAACCCTCAAATAACCCCTTACCGAACTTCTTAAGTAACCTCTAACCAAATTACTCGGGTAACCCCGGATCGAACTCATTTAATAACCCCTAACCGAGTAACTCGAGTAACCACTGGCTGAGTAGCTCGAGTACCCATGATCGAGTAACCCCTCGAGTAACCTTTGACCGAGTAACCCCTTTAGTAACCCTTGACCGAGTGACTCGAGTAGTTCCTCAAGTAACCCTTGCTCGAGTGAACCCCTTAAGTAACCCTTGTCCCAACCCCCAAATAACCCTTGAACGAGTAACTCGAGTTACCCATGACTGAATAACTCAAGTAACCATAACAAAATAACTGATGTAACCCCTGACACATGGTGTTGCCTGCTGCACCAAATAGTTGATGTTATAAAAATTCACTTTTTGGTCCCCATTCTATTTTTTTCTTTAATTTTGTGCAACACCCAGTATTAAGATTAATACAAAACAGAAGGAGTAATAGTTTACTCATCCATAAATATCATACACAATTGTGTCACCTCTAAATAAATTTGCATTGGTGGTTAATAGGTTATTCCTTATTCAAAACTCATAACATTTGGATAATAGGTTATGTTCTTATGAAAGGAAAAAAAAATTACTCCGTAATGACTTTTGAATAATAGTCTATCCTTTCATAAAAAAAAAAAAAAACACAATAATTTTTAAAGGAAAAGTATTTTTTTCCTTAGGAAAAAAAAATATTACACTTGTACTTTGCAAAATTGTAAGTTGATTACACTTTAAAGTATCTAATGACAATGATTGTTAATACTTTAAAAACTAAACTAATTGCGACTGTCTTATCACTTATGTTAAAAAATGAAACAATTGCAAAGCATTGCCTGCTTACTATAGTTAATACTTGTATATAACAAGTCTAGTGAGTAGATTACAGTAAAGAAAACAAGTCTAACAGCCGCATCGACGCCATTAGAAGCAGGCCCAGCACCTCCTCCTTTGTCGAGAATTAGTCTATGTTAGAAATCCAAAGCAACCTGAAAGAAAATAAATTATGTAGGATATCAATACTAATAACAATGTGAGTCATTTGATATATTATCATAATCAATGACATTTGATTACTCTGACGATAAAAAAAAAATCACAAGGTGAAATGCTGAAATCATCATATACAGGAAAATACAACTCCCAAATAGTAGTATCATATTATGTTGCATTTAGCTATCACTCATATACATTCTGTAATATAATATGCAACACTATGTCAACCTGAACTTTGTATTAGAAATGCCAGTTTTGAGTTTAAATTTAACCACCAATGCAAGGTTATTTACCTTCCCACAAAAAACTTCTAAAAAAATTGACTTTCACCTACATATTTAAGGTCATGTTTTAGTGGGTCGGTCACACATGAACTCCACTAAACTTGGAGTTGTTGGGTTAATGAAGTAATTCGGTCAGGGGTTACTCGAGTTGTTGGAGTTACTCAAGTTATAAAGTAACCCCTTACCGAGTAACTCCTCGAGTAATCCATGATTAAACTCCTTGAGTAACCCTCCTAATCGAGTAACACCTCCTCCTCAAGTAGCCCCTAATTGAGTAACCCTTCAAGTAACCCCTAATTGTACCCTGAAGTAATCCATGTTCGAGTAACCCGAATAACCACTAACCGAATAGCTCGAGTAACCCATGGTCGAGTAACCCCTCAAATAACCCTTGACCAAGTGAACCCCTCGAGTAACCCTTGTCTGAACCCCTCAAGTAACCCCTGATCTAGTAACCCCTCAAGTAACCCTTGACCAAGTGAACCCCTCGAGTAACCCATGTCCGAACCCCTCTAGCTTCTAGCTTAGTGGCCCTGATCTAGTAACCCCTGTCCGAACCCCTCGAGTAACCCCTGATCTATAACCCCTATCGAGTAATACATTATCATTTCTTATATGGATGGCAGTGGGTCGGGTTAAATGGGAGACCCGCCCCATCCCCGCCCAAGTGAGGCGGGGATGGAGGGAGGTTTGGCGGGTGATGGGTCGGGGATGGGTATAAAATGTGTACCCGCCATGGGTGATGGGGCGGGTATGGATTTTAGAGTAGACCCGCCCCATATCCGCCCCGCCCCGCCCCGTACCCACCTTATACTCACCATATTTATTTTAGAAGAGTTGAGAATTTATGAAACTTGATAGATACCCCCTAAGACTCAATAAGCTTGAATAGTGAAAGTCTCAATTTTTTTAACCTAATTTGATATAATCGTGATTAATGTGATACAATAGAGCATCATTGCAAAGGGTTTGGGACGATTTTGGGGCGGGTATGAGGTGGGTATGAATATCCAAGTGGGTGATGGGGCGGGGATGGATCCTATCTTGTACCCGGTGGGGCGGCTATGGATGTGGATACTATACCCGCCACGGGTGGTGGGGCGGGGATGGGTATAAGATTTTTATGCGGGTATGGGTATGGAGGTACCATCATCCGCATCCGACCCGCCCCATTGCCATCCCTGATTTCTTATATCATTTCTTTTAGCTTTCTCTTGCTTATATCATTTCTTTTAGCTTTCTCTTTCTCCCGCTCTTATTTTATGGAATTTTAATTTTTGAGCATTTTAGAAAGGAAGGGTGTAAAACAATATTATCATCTACCAAATCTCTATAAAGTATTTTCCCTCCTCCTCTATTTCCCCAAACTTTTTCTCTCTTTCTCTGTCTCAATCTCTCTCCCCCACTTCTCCTTGCTCCCTTCTTTCTTTTTTAATGGTTACATAACTTTTCTCTCTAATCTCTCCACTTATCATCTATAATTATAGGATATGACCTGGTTATTATGTTCAAATAACAATAGGATATGACTTATACGGTAAAACCATAAGTAAATAAATAAATCTCTCAAGATTATATGTAAGATTGAAACACATATGATCATATGAATGCAATCACCAAACTTAAACAGAGTAACAAACTAACAACTTTGATACAGTTCTTCAATTCTTCCCATATCCAAATCATAAAAGTAGTTTGATAATCACACCATTTATTTTCTCAACAAAGCTGAGAAATAAAATCTACAGGGGATTCGAACCCATATCATTTGTGCATTTGCACAACGCTCTACCAATTGAGCTAGTAGGCTAATGTTATATAGGATGTAATAATAAGTAATGAATTGAAATTTTATTCACCTAACAATGTTCCCCTCTTCATAACCTCAAAAAAGATTCAATATATATAGATGCATTTACAAACTCTATTCACCGAAGAGAGAGGCATCCAAAAGAAACCACACAACAACTCGACAAGTGTGGATGTACAAAAGTCCATACCCCCAATTAAATTCTAATACCATATATTCATATCATGGTAATACATACGACCTTCAAAACTGCAGTAATGTAAGGATTCAGCAACATTTAAAGCTACTCTCAGTCACATTTCCTACTCAATTGTCTAGTTTTCTCTTGCAGAACAAAAAAATAGGCATAAGATAACGCTAACAGAATTATTAACGAAGTTGACATAAATTATAGATTATAAATGCAACAGATTGCTCAGCAAGAACTGGAATATGTACCCAAATGACAGTAACAACCGACCTTTTTTAGTCACACTTAATATTTTAGTACCTAGCTCTAGTCTTTGTAAATAATCATGTTAAAGTACACCAGTCAGGCAATCACCACTCATTTACAATCACATTTGTCAGTTTTCACATCAGAATATGACACCAGTTTACTTATTCCTCTAATTCAAGTCAAGAGAAAATTAATCATTAATAATTATGGCCCTTATTAATGCTTTACCTTGGAGCAAATAGGACAATCAATGTCCAATTATCCATAAAAAATTACTCGCACAATTTTAGAAAACATGGTCGAGCATTGTGAACTCCATCAAAAGATGAATCTGCAAGCAACAGAAAATAGCGATAAATCAAGCAATGTTATATAGCGAAGACTGAATCAAATTTGATAAGGGGGAAAACACATAAACCCAAAAACACAGAACTAACTTTGTGAGAGAGGGAAGAGCATAGCGAAATATTTAGAAATAGTACAAGCAAGCTCCTCATTCGAAAGCACATGATACAACCATTTAATGAAACAAAAAATCCTTTCCAATACACATACCTAATTACGAAATAACAAACATAATGGCAAGTTAGTATAACAACCTTTTTATCGTAGCAGAAGTATCAACTAATATTAATTGTTTGGACCAAGAAGGTAGTACTTACCTGTTTTGCAAATATCTGAAAGTCAAGGACCAACCCTTGTGGTGCGTCTCTGGCTCTTTGCAAAACCATTTTCGTACTCTACCTAATTCTCAAAATATCCCTCAGCGCTGCCACCCCGCCGATCTAAAAAAGGTAGAGAACCAAATGATGTAAATCCCATATAATCTTACATTACCAAACATAAGTGTCATACAATAATTTTTTCATAATTATCGACAATTACAGAGTTGCAAACTCTCAAGGCCTCTCTATTATGAGAATTTGTTAATAAGTTTCTACAATACTAATGAAAAGCTTCACATCCAGATATTTTTATACCTGCCACTATATTAGTCACATCAAAGACAGCTAGTAACATTAATCAAGAAAAGTAATTCAATTAAACGAATAAAATAAATTATTTTGTTTTTTTTTGGTGTTTTACCCAAACAAAACAACCAATTCGGCTAATGGTGGTTTTTTTTTGTGGTATTTTTTTTTCATTATCTCTTCCTATAGCCTGATAAAGCAACCAACACCTTTTTTTCTCATCTATGTCTTGCTATAGCCTGATAAGCCTTGAGCCCTTGAGTCATTACTGAGTGTAGACACCCAAATGTGTCTCCTCAAAACCAAACCCAATGATGAATACCTTTCATGTCATTTGTTTATTAAATAAAGCAAAAGTGTGAAAAGTCTAGTGATGAGGATGTTTTATTAAAATATCTCTTCTTTTTGTTTTTGAAAATATTTCTTTTCTTACCCTATTAATGAAAAGCGTGCATTTCAGTTTAGTTTGGTCCATGATATGGGTCAAATTATAGTGTAGTTGGATGGGGTTTGAAAAGACCTTTCCAACGATATATTATAAGCCCAATATCGATGAATAATGAGGAAATTATGGCCAAAATACTAAACCGGGCTCGATTTGGTTCTTACATACAGCCCAATGATCTACAGAATTGCCTATTATTAATTATCATTCCTAAAGCTATTAGGATTGATTATAGTAATCTAGAATACTCTATAAGGTTCTCTTAAGTCCTAATGGAGATATGATTGATAATTATGTTTCAAAGAGTTTGAAATTGAATAAAACTACTCCTTTTGAGAATTCTTGTTTTGTACGGAATGGAATATATTCAGATTTTATTTTCGTGCCTCATAATCTTTATCCAAATCTTATATGATTGGATAGATCTTAAAATTATCTTTCCAATGATATATTAAAATATTAATTCCGAGCTATAATGAAAAAGATATGAATGAGATACGAAACTCTATCCAAAATTGATACCCTTCCACTATTTCGGTCATATCTTAATATCTACAAAAAATTTTAATCGGATTCTAATTGGGTTGTAAATTAGACTTCAAGAGCTTTCCAACGACATTATATGACTTATTTAGGCTTCTGGATCAAAAGATATGATAAAAATAAAATCCACAAAAATTGTCTTACATCGCCAAACGACAGGTTTGTCGCCCGGAGACAAAGCCTGCCTGTAGGCGACATAAGCGTGTTTTATTCCTTTTTGAACTCTGATTCGTTTTTATCAATTCCGGACTATTTTCTTATAAATAGGGTCCCTGGACCTCTGTTTTCAACAATCAACTCTTAACCAGAATTGTCTAATTCTTTCTCTCTCTAAAAAGCTAGAAGCTTTCCTTCTCTCTCTATTCTTTTTCTCAACCTTCTCTCTCTCAAAATTCCTCATACATTAGCACTAGACACACTTAGCCAAGTTCGAAGTTGTCTTCGCCCTAGACGTGAAAGGTTTGATAAGTTCTGAGGGTTTGGTCTTAAATCTCTATTTCAATTATTTAATTTAATTGTTTGTTTTATTATTTTCCTTTAAGTTACTAACGTGTGTATTTTGTTATTAGAAAGAGATACGAGGCATCCAAGTAAGTGCTTTAATTGCTCAATTGATATTTTTGATGCAGAAATCATGTTTAGGTTGTTATTTTGATTCCTAGTATCATGTTATGATGTTTTTCCTAGTATCATGCTAGGATGCTTCCTAGTATCATGTTTAGGGTAATAATTAAGTTTCTAATATCAAGTATGATTAAAAGAATGCTTCCTATTTTCTTTCCTAATATCATGTTTATTATCATGTTAGGGCTAAAGCTTTTATCTTTATTGTTTAGTGACATGCTAGGGTTTGTTATTACCCTTGTTAGTATCATGCCTAGGATCTTGCTATTATTATGCTTTAGCGTTGATATGATTATGGTTATGAACATGATTATAATAATTATTATTATGGTTATTGTTGTTATTATGTTGCTTGATTTTTATTATTGTTATTGCTTGATCACGCCTTTTATGCATGTTTAAAGGGAATTTATACTTGTAATCACGCGTAATAAGATTATTAATAATCTTGTTTAAGGATAATATGATTATAATTCAAGTGATCTCCAATAAAAGTTTTATTTGTGCATTAATATTCAACCAATATAAATTAAACAGGTTTAGGATTAACCTATTGATTGCATGTTAGTCAGAAAGCGCACATGAATACGAGAAGAATAAAGTAGAGGCATATTATTAGGGCATGTTCTTTCTCTTTTAGATTGGATTTGTACCTTCATCCCCGAACTTCTAGTCTTGGTTCCAGTCCTATTGGAGTTAACGATCTCCTGGATATTTAAGGGGTGTAACCTTCACCCTATGAACGGTTTACAAGTTCCTAAAACTTGTTGGCGACTCCTTTGCTCTAGCTTCCTTCCCTTTGGACGCCACCATGCTTTAGTGTATGATCACAGTGGGGTTCAAGTTTGGGGTAATGCTTGAAATATTCCCTACAGTCAAGGCACACTTTTATGACAGTTAGAACATCATAAAGTAAAATGAAAGAGCTTAATCCCCCAAACAACATCCCTTGGGTCAAGTATATGTTTGTTAGAAGCACATATAAGGACAAAAGGCTAAAACCCTAAAAATTGATTCAATAATCATAATCCAAAATCTTCAGATTGACATACCCGATCTACATATCCAAAACTACCCATCCATAAACATGATTTCAATCTAATTGCATAAATAAACAAAACCCAAAATTCGAATTCACCCAAGTAAACATGATAAATGGATCAAACATAGATAAACAAGTAAGATACCGGAAACTAAAGGCCTTGGAGGAGCGTGAAACTCACTTGATGCTGCTCTTTCAAAGGTCCTAAAGAGCGGAAAATGTCACTTTACTTATCAATTCAGTTCCAATTCAAGTTCTCCATCTTCCCTGTTAATCTATTCATCTACAAAACTTAAAATAATCGAAAAAAAAGTCAATAAAACAGCAAAAATATCAAATTTCAAAAAAGAAACAACAACTCCATCATAATCAGGTAAAAAAAACAATGGGATACCATTAGGACCAAGAGAAGAGTGAGTAACGTCGCAAACCTTTTCAAAGCTTCAATAGTTTGATATTCTTACAAACAGCTTCTCCGACCTAGAGAGATGGCATTTGGGATAAAATGATTGAAATCTATGAAGGATGTGTCTTTGTTGACCCAAAATATTTTGTAGTTTGTACAGAGTATTAAGTACAAACCTCAACACCCCAACATCATTTTCTAGGCAGACTTCCTAATTAGAAATCCAATGGTAATTATACAGAAAAAGAAGGGAAAAAAAAACGGGATGAGAAAGTACCAATATCAAACAATAGTTGAATGTAGAACCCTAAATTGACTATGCTAACATCAATTTAACAACAATGTGAAATCGAACTCTCAAATGTTTTGTTTTTTGTAAAGAGGGAAATACACATAAACCATTCTGCAAAATTTACAAACCCCGTTTCTTCAAAAAAAAAAAAAAAAAAAAAAAAAAAAAAAAAAATTACAAACCCCATAGCCATAATTTGCTAAATCATTCAAGAAAACAATTCTTAACCTTTCTGCTTCTCTGATGATTTGGCAAACAAAAAACTACAGCAAAATTAAGTAGATCTAACCCTAATACGGTATCAAAGAACACTCCACAAACAATAAGATCACCAACAAAGCAAAAACGGGAAAAAAAAGGATATTTGGTCAATTGAAATACAATTTCATAATGACAAAAAAAGGGGGGCATAAGTAACGAGACTGAACAAAGATTACAGCAGAAATTTGGAGAAGAAGAACCACCTTGATTAATGATTTTTTTGAGGATAAATGAAGGAAATAGAGAAGCAGGGCTTTCACCGGTGCTAGGAGGTCGCCGATCCCAACTAGCGTCGCAGGAGCTAGTGATAACCGCCATGGCCGACCTTCTCTGAGGTCAAAAATTATGATTCATTTCTCTTCATTTTCTTCAATTTATGCCCTAGAGGAGAAAGCATTAGGTGAGCAACATCGATAACTTACACCAGAAAAACCAAAAGAATTTTAAAGCTATGTACCCAAAAAAAATTTCAAATCATAAAAGGGAGGAGAATTAAAACCCACTTTCTTCCATTAAAGAAGTCTCGTCATCTTACTGCAAACCCAAAAAAAAAATCAACAAAATAAAAAACATATAAAAAAAAACCTCTAAATTTCACACAATATCCAAATCATGTTCAATCAAAACTACTATAATCAACCAAATTCATAAATTGATGTTAAATGACAGATAAATGAGATGCGAGATAACAAACCAGGAGGGAGAAACAGAATGCTGAGCTCGATTACTGAGGTCAAAGTAAGAGTTCGCTGGAAAACTACGATCGACGGCGGAAGAACCGAGGTCAGAAGCCGCATCCATTAGAGAAGTCACGTAGCTACCATTCAAAAACGAAAATAAAAAATGAAAATTGAAAGAAACAACAAATCCATAAGCAGAAAAATCAAAAGCGAAATTTATTGAAATAGATCAAAATTTTACAAGAAATACAATTTGTTAATTTAGGGGAAATCAAAGAACTCACCTTGAGGAGACAGAAGAACCAAATTGCAAAACTGATCAAAATCTGAGGTAAAGACTGAGGAGAGAGAGATTGAAAAGTGATGAGGAAAAGAGGAACGACTCTGTTCACAAGGAAAAGTTAAAAAGAAAAGATTCCTCAACCCAAGGGTTACATGGATTAAAGGGCAAAAAGGGAAGGACAATGTTCATTAAGAACAGAAAAAAAAGAGGAGGGGTAAAACCGTCCACACACTGTTCATAAGGAATTGCTAAAAGTAAAAATTCCTCACCCCAATTTGGCTTTTATAAGGGTTATGGATTTTATTGGTGATTGAATTAAATTGATTTGAATTATGATTTATGAAATAAAGTATGGTTGGAGGAATTGATTTTAAAATTTGTTTTAATAAATTTATTTTTAAAGGATTGATTTTAATATCATGTTTTGAATGGTTTTAAATCATTTATAATATTTAAAGGAATTTGGCTTTAAAAATATGTTGGATTGTTTTAAAGAGTTTTTAAAAAGGTTTGATTTTAAAAGATTATTGAATTAAATACAAAAGGAGTTTTTGAGTTATTCAATTATAAAGGTTGGTTTTATTTAAAGAGGAATTTCATGAGAATTATTGAATTATTTATAAAAGCTTTACAAGCATGATTATTATATTAATCCCACTATGCGGATTCATTGAATATGAACTTTGTATGACCTAGTCTTTCCTTGAGAATAGCCTTGAAATAGTAGGAGACTAGCTTGGGGGTTGTGCACACTTAGAGAAGAAATTAGGTTTTTGAAAAGATTTGATTTTATTAATCACTACTATTGAATTATTGAGTTATTGGAATTATATTTGAGAATTGGTTTTGATTCTATCACGAGTTTTGGAATTTATTGGATTAATTATTGAAATTGGTTTTAAAAGCGTGTTTGCAAATAAATTAAGTTTACATTATCTGGAACTATCGTACTTAAACATATTTTACTAATCCATATTTTCACTAGTAGAAAAATAGAGATTGACACCGACCAATGGCCACCAGTTTTTAAAAATCGGTGGGGAAAAAATGGGGAAAAATGGGTGGGATTTTGAGGGAAGGGTATTGCCACTGGTTCAAACCAAACTGGTGGGGAAAATATTAATCTCACCGGTTTTGAACCAGTGGCTTTATTTAAAAAAAAACATCCCCTCTTTATAAACCCTAACCCTAACTCTTCCCTATCTACAGCCTCTCTCCCCTCTCCTCCTTCTCTCTCCTACTCTCCTCTCTCTCCTGCTCTCTCTCTCTCTCTTGCTCTCTCTCTCTCTCTCTCCCGCTCGTCTCACCCTTTCTCTCCCCTTTCTCCTACTCGTCTCACCCTTATCTTTCTCCTCGTCGCTCTCCTCTTCTTTCCCCTCATCTCTTCATCGCCAGAGGTTTGTTCCATTTCCTCTTCTCTTTATTATCGGCGATTTCATTGGTTGGTGGTGTTAAAAAATTAATGGTTTTTAAGGATAAATTTGACGATGAAAACTCTAGATCTAGACTTTTCATGGTCGAATTTGGACTTATTAAACCAAATTCAAGATGGAATTCAAACCAATTCGGTTATTAAAGTATTTTTTTGTTTTTTTTTAAAAAAAAATTCTTTTGTTTTTTGTTTCTACTGTCGTGGTGGTACTGGCGGTGGGTAGGGTTTTGGTTGCTGTTGAGGTTGTTGTTGTGGTGGGTGTGGCGTTGGGTAGGGTTTTGGTTTGGTTGTGGGTTCGGTCAGGGTTTGGTTATGTGAGGTGAGGGCTGGGGTTGAAGCTGTTGGTGTGGGGTGACGGTAGTGGTGGTAGGGGGTGGTGGGTTGTGGGTCGTGGGTTGTGGGTCGTGAGTTGTGGGTGGGTCGTGAGTTGTGGGTGGTTTTTTAATTTAATTTATGTATATTTATGTAATTTATGTATGTAATTTTGCAGATTCTGTATATTTATGTAATTTATGTATGTGATTTTGCAGATTTAATTTATGTATATTATGTATTTTCTGTATATTATTATAATATTTAAGTTTATCCTGATTTTTAAGTGAAAAAAATGACTTTTTTTTTAATTATTTGGGACAATATTGCCACCAGTTAATCGGTGCTAATAACCTAGTATTACCACCGGTTAACCGGTGCTATTTTGCACTTTTCCCTCCGGTTTTGAACTGGTGGAAAAAAAAAACCCTGAACTGCCATTGCTCAAATAGCAACCGATTCAAAATTAGTGGGATAAGCCGGTTTTGGCTAATTGCATTATTCTACTAGTGTTCCTATTTGTTTTGGTTCACCTTGTTAACCATAATGTTAAGTAATGTTGACTATTTTCAGGTGGAGTCATGAATGAGCATATGGGAGTCTCTGGATTTGCCTCACCTAGTTTAGGAATGTTGGTCTTTGTTTCTATTTTGAGTACTGTAGGGAATATTTTAAGTATTATTCCAAACTTGAACCCCACTGTGATCATACACTTAAACAAGGTGGCGTCCAAAGGGAAGGAAGCTAGAGCAAAAGAGTCGCCAACAAGTTTTAGGAACTTGTAAACTGTTCACAGGGTGAAGGTTACACCCCTTAACGATCCATGAGATCGTCAACTCCAATAAGTCTGGAACCATTACTGGTGATCGGGGATGAGGGTACGAATCCAATCTAAAAGAGAAAGAACTCGCCCTATAAAATAGGCCTCTACTTTATTCTTCTTGTATTCATGTGCGCTTTCTGACTAACATGCAATCATTAGGTTTAGCCCTAAACCTGTTTATCTATGTTGGTTGAATATTAATGCACAAATAAAACTATTATTGGCGATCACTTGAATTATAATCATATTAACCCTAAACAAGATTATTAATTATCTTATTAAGCGTGATTAAAAGTACAAATTCCCTTTAAATCTGCATAAAAGGCGTGATCAAGCAATAAAAATAATAATAATCAAGCAACATAATAATCATCATAATAATTATCATAATTATTATAACTAGAATAACAATCATGTTCAAGCATAATAATATTAGCAAGATCCTAGGCATGATACTAACAAGATTAATAACAAACCCTATCATGTCACTAAACATCAAAGATCAAAGCTTTAACCCTAACATGGTACTAACATGATATTAAGAAATATATAGGAAGCATTATTTTAATCATACTTGATATTAGAAATATTAATTAACCCTAAACATGATACTAGGAAGCAATAAAACATCCTAACATGATACTAGGAATCAAAATAATAATCTAAATATGATTTCTATATCATAATATAAATTAAACAATTAAAACACTTACTTTGATGCCTCGTACCTCTTTTTAATAACAAAATACACACGTTAAAAACTTCAAGGAAAAGTATAAACAAACAATTAAATTAAATAATTGAAATAGAGATTAAAAAGTTTAGACTGAATTTGGGACCAAACCCTCATAAATTATCAATCTTTCACGTCTAGGGCGAAAACAACTTCAAACTTGGCTAGATATGTCTAGTGCTAATGTACGAGGAATTGTGTTTGTAAAAGGCTTGTCTAGAAAGAGAGAGAGAATAAACTTTAGCTTAGAGAAAGAGAAGAATTAGAGAATTCTGGTTATTGTTTATGAGAGTTGATGATTGAAAACAGAGGTCCAGGGACCCTATTTATAAGAAAATAGTCCGAAAACCGATAGTGCAGGGAATATTTCAAGCATTACCCCAAACTTGAACCCCACTGTGATCATACACTTAAGCATGGTGGCGTCCAAAGGGAAGGAAGCTAGAGCAAACGAGTCGCCAACAAGTTTTAGGAACTTGTAAACCGTTCACAGGGTGAAGGTTACACCCCTTAACGATCCAGGAGATCGTCAACTCCAATAGATCTGGAACCATGACTGGCAGTTCGGGGATAAGGTACAAATCCAATATAAAAGAGAAAGAACCTGCCCTAATAATAGGCCTCTACTTTATTCTTCTCGTATTCATGTGCGCTTTCTGACTAACATGCAATCAATAGGTTTACCCTAAACCTATTTATCTATGTTGGTTGAATATTAATGCACAAACAAATCTATTATTGGCGATCACTTGAATTATAATCAAATTAACCCCAAACAAGATTATTAATTATCTTATTAAGCGTGATTACAAGTACAAAAATTCCCTTTAAACATGCATAAAAGGCATGATCAAGCAATAACAATAAATATCAAGCAACATAATAATCGTAATAATCATAATAATCATGTTTTAAATAATCATGATAATAATAATTATAACAATTATAAAAATAATCATAATCATGTTAAAGCATAATAATAGCAAGATCCTAGGCATGATACTAACAAGATTAATAACAAACCCTAGCATGTCACTAAACAATATAAACATTAAAGCTTTAACCCTAACATGATACTAACATGATATTAGGAAAGAAAATAGAAAGCATCACAGAAATCATAATTGATATAAGGAACTTATTGTTGTCACCCTAAACATCATACTAAGAAAAGCATCCTAACATGATACTAGGAATCAAAATAACAACATAAACATGATTTCTATATCAAAATATCAATTAAACAATTAAAACACTTACTTGGATGCCTCGTACCTCTTTCTAATAACAAAATACACACGTTAGTAACTTCAAGGAAAATATAAAACAAACAATTAAATTAAATAATTGAAATAGAGATTTGGGACCAAACCCTCAGAAATTAAACCTTTCACGTCTAGGGCGAAGGCAACTTCGAATTATGCTAGGTGTGTCTAGATCTTGTGAATGCGGAATTTTGTATTTGAGAAAAGGCTAATTTCGAAAAGAGAGAGAGAGAGAGAGAGAGTATCAAGAATTTCTTGATGAGAGTTGGTGATTAAAAACGGAGGTTTTAGGAGGCTATTTATAACGAAAATCAGCCGGATTATGATAAAAAAATAAGAGTTTCGAAAAGAATAAAACACGACGCTGTCGCCACACACGCCTCTATCGCCAAACAAAGCCTGTCGCCAGGCGACAAACGTGTCGCCGCAGCGCCAGGCCTGTCGCCAGGCGACAACCTATAGTGTGGCGCTGCAGACAGTTTTTCCACACGTTTTCATATTTTGATAAAATTTAAGCGTACGAGGGGTAAAATTGTAATTTCCTTTAAAACACTTCTTTTATTCTAAATAAAACTCTTAAAACTCATT